CCATCAGAGAATACTATAAACACCTCTGTGCAAATAAACTGGAAAATCTAGAAGAAATGGATAATTTCCTGGACACTTATACTCTTCCAAGACTAAACCAGGAAAAAGTTGAATCCCTGAATAGACCAATAGCAGGCTCTGAAATTGAGGCAATAATTAATAGCCTACCAATGAAAAAAAGTCCAGGACCAGATGGATTCACAGCCGAATTCTACCAGAGGTACAAGGAGGAGCTGGTACCATTCCTTCTGAAACTATTCCAAACAATAGAAAAAGAGGGAATCCTCCCTAACTCATTTTATGAGGCCAACATCATCCTGATACCAAAGCCTGGCAGAGACACAACAAAAAAAGAGAATTTTAGGCTAATATCCCTGATGAACATCGATGCAAAAATCCTCAATAAAATACTGGCAAACCGGATTCAGCAACACATCAAAAAGCTTATCCACCATGATCAAGTGGGCTTCATCCCTGGGATGCAAGGCTGGTTCAACATTCGCAAACAGAACCAAAGACAAGAACCACATGATTATCTCAATAGATGCAGAAAAGGCTTTTGACAAAATTCAACAGCCCTTCATGCTAAAAACGCTCAATAAATTCGGTATTGATGGAACATACCTCAAAATAATAAGAGCTATTTATGACAAACCCACAGCCAATATCATACTGAATGGGCAAAAACTGGAAGCATTCCCTTTGAAAACTGGCACAAGACAGGGATGCCCTCTCTCACCACTCCTATTCAACATAGTGTTGGAAGTTCTGGCTAGGGCAATCAGGCAAGAGAAAGAAATCAAGGGGATTCAGTTAGGAAAAGAAGAAGTCAAATTGTCCCTCTTTGCAGATGACATGATTGTATATTTAGAAAACCCCATTGTCTCAGCCCAAAATCTCCTTAAGCTGATAAGCAACTTCAGCAAAGTCTCAGGATACAAAATAAATGTGCAAAAATCACAAGCATTCTTATACACCAGTAACAGACAAACAGAGAGCCAAATCATGAATGAACTTCCATTCACAATTGCTTCAAAGAGAATAAAATACCTAGGAATCCAACTTACAAGGGATGTAAAGGACCTCTTCAAGGAGAACTACAAACCACTGCTCAGTGAAATAAAAGAGGACACAAACCAATGGAAGAACATACCATGCTCATGGATAGGAAGAATCAATATCGTGAAAATGGCCATACTGCCCAAGGTCATTTATAGATTCAATGCCATCCCCATCAAGCTACCAATGAGTTTCTTCACAGAATTGGAAAAAACTGCTTTAAAGTTCATATGGAACCAAAAAAGAGCCCGCATCTCCAAGACAATCCTAAGTCAAAAGAACAAAGCTGGAGGCATCACGCTACCTGACTTCAAACTATACTACGAGGCTACAGTAACCAAAACAGCATGGTACTGGTACCGAAACAGAGATATAGACCAATAGAACAGAACAGAGTCCTCTGAAATAATACCACACATCTACAACCATCTGATCTTTGACAAACCTAACAAAAACAAGCAAGGGGGAAAGGATTCCCATTTAATAAATGGTGCTGGGAAAACTGGCAAGCCATGGATAGAAAGCTGAATTTTAATTTCAAAATTAATTTTAAAAAATTTATGAACACACAAAACTCAGTTGTATAGTAAGTAATACAGATTGTATAATATAAGTAATACAGAGCCATATTCAGAATATTCTAGGGCTGTAACAGTGTTATGTAAGGCAATTTTATTCCCAGTATGAGAGTTATGGTGCTGGGAAAATTGGCTAGCTATAAGTAGAAAGCTGAAACTGGATCCTTTCCTTACTCCTTATACAAAAATTAATTCAAGATGGATTAGAGACTTAAATGTTAGACCTAATACCATAAAAGTCCTAGAGGAAAACCTAGGTAGTACCATTCAGGACATAGGCATGGGCAAAGACTTCATGTCTAAAACACCAAAAGCAATGGCAACAAAAGCCAAAATTGACAAATGGGATCTCATTAAACTAAAGAAATTCTGCACAGCAAAAGAAACTACCATCAGAGTGAACAGGCAACCTACAGAATGGGAGAAAATTTTTGCAATCTACTCATCTGACAAAGGGCTAATATCCAGAACCTACAAAGAACTCAAACAAATTTACAAGAAAAAAACAACCCCATCAAAAAGTGGGCAAAGGATATGAACAGACATTTCTCAAAAGAACACATTCATACAGCCAAGAGACACATGAAAAAATGCTCATCATCACTGGCCATCAGAGAAATGCAAATCAAAACCACAATGAGATACCATCTCACACCAGTTAGAATGGCGATCATTAAAAAGTCAGGAAACAGCAGGTGCTGGAGAGGATGTGGAGAAATAGGAACACTTTTACACTGTTGGTGGGATTGTAAACTAGTTCAACCATTATGGAAAACAGTATGGCGATTCCTCAAGGATCTAGAACTAGATGTGCCATATGACCCAGCCATCCCATTACTGGGTATATACCCAAAGGATTATAAATCATGCTGCTATAAAGACACATGCACACGTATGTTTATTGCGGCACTATTCACAATAGCAAAGACTTGGAATCAACCCAAATGTCCATCAGTGACAGACTGGATTAAGAAAATGTGGCACATATACACCATGGAATACTATGCAGCCATAAAAAAGGATGAGTTTGTGTCCTTTGTAGGGACATGGATGCAGCTGGAAACCATCATTCTTAGCAAACTATCGCAAGAACAGAAAACCAAACACCGCATGTTCTCACTCATAGGTGGGAACTGAACAATGAGATCACTTGGACTCGGGAAGGGGAACATCACACACCGGAGCCTATCATGGGGAGGGGGGAGGATTGCATTGGGAGTTATACCTGATGTAAATGATGAGTTGATGGGTGCTGACGACTTGATGGGTGCAGCACACCAACATGGCACAAGTATACATATGTAACAAACCTGCACGTTATGCACATGTACCCTAGAACTCAAAGTATTATAATAATAATAATAATAATAATAATAAATTAATAATTTTTTTAAAAAAAGAGCCTAGAATTTATCCCAAGGTGGATGAAGAAATGAAGAAACAAATAAATTAATCAAATTGCAGTTCCTAAAATAGTTATAAGTAGAAAAATTAGCAATGTCTAAAAATGTCATTTTAACCTTTAATATCAATGTCATATTCCATCTTATCAGGTAGTAACTCTGGCTGTTTTGATTTTCATTTTAGAAGAATAAGGAACATAAGTATACAATAATCAATAACTATATTACCATCATATAATTACCCAGTTGGCATACTGTTTATTATTTTAGTTTAAGGAGACACATTGAAGGGAGAAAAAGGGGGTGCTAGAGGTTTGCAGACACTTAGCAAACATTAATGTTTATCCTACAGCTTTGTAAGCACTTTACCAAGAATCTTTAAACTGTCATTTTGCTGATGGAAAGTATAAAATGAGACTTCAGCAGAAGTTAATCTCATCATTATCTACTTAAAACAGTGTTTTTTACATTGATCTAAAGAGGTTTGTGCATATTTTGACTGTTTTTCCTATATGATCATCTTTAAGTACTAGTATGAAAGTTAATGAGTAAAGAAAATCTGCTGAATAAATCCACCTGATAACCCAAGGCACTTAAAGGAAATACATGCTATAATGTGATGCAAAGATTTTACTTGATTAGTGCTCTATTTCTCAATTTAACAACCAAACCTAAAAGAAATTTAAATCAAGACTTTTGACGGACATATTCAGTGCAATTTGATTAGGGTGCAGATAACTACACTATTTTGGTGTGACCGTATAAGTATTCTGATCATAATTATGACATATACTCTGCTACTAGTTAGAAAAAGAACAGTTTTTAACTTCTTCATGCCTTTCATATATGCACGTGTTCTTAATACACTATTATAATAAATAAAATGTACCTGAAAATATAAAACATCTTGTTCAGAAAGTATGCATTTGTTTATCATACAAAATGTTTATTCTGAACCTATGCTGTATGAAATGCTACAGATAGCCCACTATAAATGTAGAAGTAGCAAGGGAAGATGACAGATATCTAAAAATATTTGTTAGTAGCACTATATTGTTGATTACTACATATCAACATATGTAGTAGAATAATGAATAAAGTGAAAGAAAAAGCATAATGCCTTAGGTGTTTACTTTGGGCACAGCAACGTTTGGTCCAGTCTTCTTTCTAGTTTTCTGGTACCCTAGTTAAATGAGCAAGAGTGTGATGGAAAGTGGGCTTTGAAGTCAATCAGACCTGCATTTGTATTTGATTTCTACCACCTAATAGTTGTGTGTCTATGGGCAAGTTATTTAACTTCTCCAAGCCTCAAGTTTTTTAACTTATAAAATATGTTGTTACAAAGCTTAAAAGAAGTAAGTTACTAGCACAGTGCCTAGAACATAGAATTTGTGCTTTAGAGAAGAAATAAAAATATATAATTCTACCATCTATAGGTAGAGCTCTTTTACCAAAATAATACTAAAATTCCAATTTGCTTATAATCCTAAAATATGTATAATTCCAGAATATCTAAATCTGTACTGCTTTTACTTCTCTATTTTTGTGATAAGACTGTCTACTTAATTTATTTAAACAGCTTTACTTTTCAAGGACACATTACCATATTCATAAAAGGAAAAAATTCAAATTAAATATAATCTGTACTGAAAGTTTCCTTTTCAGATTTTGGAAAGTTAAAATGTTTGTGATACCTGGATTTATTTTTTTAATTTTTTATTGATATATAATAGCTGTATATTTTTGGGGAGTACATGTGATATTTTGATACATGTATACAATGTGTAATGATCAGATCAGAGTAATTGGGATATCCAAAACTTTAAACATGTGTCTTTCATTTATTAGGAACACTATAGATCTATTTCATGTATTAGGAACACTATAGATCATGTATTAGGAACATTCATGTATTAGGAACACTATAGATCTATTTTAATTTCTTCTTCTTTGATTTCAGCAGGAAAGGAAGGGCAAGAAATCCTGGGGCCTGAAGCTCAGGCAGATGAAGCAGGATGTACAGGTACTCTGCTGCAGCTTACTTTCATACCATAGCCTTTAAAAGAAGGTCTTTTGTGTCACTGATTTCGCATTTGTGAGTCCTGAATTTAGTCCGTTTCCTTCTCTTTTATCTTACCTTCCTTAAATGTTTAAATACTTAGGCGTGTGATGCACTACATAAAAAGAAGTAAATATTCCTTAAATACAGAGTAACTTACAGATTCATATTACGTAGCAGATTTTTCTGTTCTATAAGAATGACAAGTATAACCTACAGATAATCCAAAAAATAAGTGTTTGAAAGATGATTTGAACTTCTGTCAAGTTTTTGACCAAAGTTAGAGAAATGCAGATCTAACTTTTGAGTTTCATTATTAGTTACCTGGGTCTGCTTTGAATTGCCCACAAGACAAAAAGCAGAAGAAAATAGAAAAAGCAAATATGGATTATCTATAAATCAGATGAGAATCATGAATATTAATGAGTTGAGTGAACATGTCGCGGCAAACGAGAATCAAAAATGTTTCTTAAATTTTCTGTGATTGAAAAAGGGTAAAATGAAGTTGAATTATCGTAAACAAGGAAATTTGCTTTTAGGTGACTAAAAAGTACATACTCCCTGAGACTTAAGGTTATTCCTCTGTAATGGATTCAGATCAGATTTAAGAAACAAAAGAGTAAGTGGAAAAATTAAATCAGATCTTATGTGTAATAATACCAGTCACTTTTTATTGTGTTCCGTAAAAGAGCCAGAACTGTTAAAATGTAAACTTCAAAAATGAATTCCAGATTATTAAAACATTTCCTCACAATATTATACTTAAACGTAGTATAATTGTACTTTGTATATTCAACCATAAATTAGATATTTCTGTCATATAGTTTACATTACATTTTCTTTTTCCTTCTCTTCTGTGAGTTATCATCTATAGATTTGTTTTTTACTTTGCTGTGCATTTTAGGAATATTCCATAAAGGCTTACAAATTTTATCTTTCATTAGGTAAGATGAGGTACGGTTCATGGCCTAAAAGTGTCAAGATTAGATTTTTATTCATAATATAAACAATAGCACTCCTATACTTGTCAGTCATTTCTGTAAAACAGTAAATCTTTGTGCTGTTATTAAAAGTGAATTCCAGGTTAATTAAATAATAATGGAGTATGTGATAGTTTGTGGTGCCTATAGCCTACGATTTTATGTTTTGCCCCTAACTTGGTTCTGTGTAACTTGCATGAATAATGTTTTCAGATATGCTTGTTATCATATATTTGCAATGCTAAACTATAGAATATGTAAAATATTTAAGCCGGACATTTGTTAGTAGTAATACAGTAATGTTAATAAACATAAGAGTACACTATTTACTTTTACCTAGTGTTGTTAAACTTTGATGACTTATATTACCAGAGTTACAGAAGACTACTTCCCCTTCTAGGTAAAATGCTATCCAAAAAGATACAGGTTTACAGTATTTTATCTGTCAGGCTGTTCTTCACTATAAAAATAAATAAATTCTTTCAGTTTGAAGTACTGAATAGTATGTAAATTTCCTCAAAAAAAATTGCATCTGAAAGGCAGAGTAACCTTCTCAAATTTTGTGTTTAACGAAAGTTGCTGCTGGAATGTAAAATCTCCCCCATGTACACAATGATGATCCCTGCTGCATTATTCACCTGGAACATGGGGAGTTAGGAGTAAGCAAACTTCCATTAAAGCTCCAGTGAGTGTAGCTTTAAAAGGAAATTTAACTTTTGAGACTTTTGAGCAGTTAAACTGTAAAATTACATCATGCCTTTGTTTTTGTTACTTTCTTGACTTCTAGGGAATAATATGCTGACAAAATGAGTAAAAACATTGTACAGCGGTCGCCATCATTAGTTCAGAACGTTGTCGCATCTTTGTTATAGCAGACTTCATTTTGCAGCTCATGAAGTTAAGGAACTATAGTCTGAAGTTAGTATTCAGAGTAAGAAATTCATTTAAAACATCCTTTGTTCCTTCTGAGCATCCCTTTTTTTGTTTATATAGTTGATAATTTTAGAAAGTTTCAAACATGGAGGATAAAGATAAGAGGAAGCCTGAGGACACTTTATTCAGGATGGAAAAATTGATTGATTGATTGATTTAAAAATATTTAGTGTTTATATTAAATATTTGCTCTCTCAAATACACGTATATAGTCATTTAATTCTATACTTTGATTGTCAATTTTGAGTTTTGTCATATTTAAAGAAAACCCAATTACCCTTTTATGCTCTGTATATTTGCTCCCTAATATTTAAATGTATACGTTTATCATCTAAAGACCAGGACATTTATAATTGACCTTTTCAAGATGTGCATTTCCCAACACTTTAAATTTTAAAAAGCTGCAGAAATTCTGGTCTCAGTTTGAAATTGAGCCTGGTAAATGTGGGTTCATGGAGATAGAGTGTAGTTTAATAGAAAGAGCTCAGATTTTATACCTGACACCTAATACCAACTTGTCTGCTCTAACAGTAATACATTTTCTCTCTGTGATCTCAGAAAACTTTTACTGACCCTAATTTTTTTATTGAGAAAAATTTTAATTGCAAAATTATGTTCACTTTGCAAGACTTCTTTAAGGTGTAAATAGCTAACAATTCCATAGTACTTACTACATACCAGGTACCCTCCTAATAAGTACATTAATGTATTAATTAGTTTAATTCTTACAACAACCTAAGAGGTACTGTATATAAATTTTATAGGATGTAAACTGATTATATACTGCCTCACAAATTTCTTAATGGACATATAAAATTTTTCATTTTAAATGTCAGTAGTTACAATTTAATTTCTGGCATAGTAAAACATTGACATTTTAACATCACTATTACATATGAAACCCGTAGTATATTAATACCTATTATCGTTTTTTAAAAAATATGAAAATGCTCTTTAAGAGTAAGAAATGTTAGGTCATAATGTTTACTTTTTGAGCTCATATTTCCATTCTATCTATATACACTATAGAATTTTATGCCAACATATATTTCCTGTTTGAAGGTATTTTTGATCAACTGTCGTATTTCTTTACAAGAAAAATATGTGTATAAATTAAAATTTCTTTTTAATTTCCAGGGACCACAAGGATCTTAGTTTTTTAGAAAATTCAGGGATTTATCATTTAATTGTTAGTAGTTCATAGTTGATCACAACATAAGTATATTTTAAATTTTAATTATTAAAGAAAAACGTTACTAGAAATGAGATTAAAGGAGCTAATTTTTAAAATTACTTCATAAATAGTAATTGTAATAGCTTAATATTATTTCTAGAAGGAAAAGTGTTCATCATTTGGTTTCTATTTTTTTAGCATTGAGGTACCTTTATTCTCAAATTAAAAGATGAAATAAAATTTTGTTATAACTGAATTGCTCAGTTTTTATATGTCTTCAGACATAATGTCAAAAGTTATTTGTCAATGAAAATATTTTAATGTCCTATCAGCTTATACTTTGATTAACTATTTCTTCAATTTTGTTGAAAACCAAAATTTAAAGCCATCTAATTTGCAAAAAGATTTATTTCCCAGTCATTACAATCATCTATTCCCTCATTTTCTGGGACATATACCAGAAAGACTTTACCAATAGTTATTTATCAAAGGACTAATGATATCTGTTTTGGGCTTTAAAAATTTTTTTTCTCACAGTCACTTTGTTTAATGTATTCAGAAATGATTTAGGAAACTGAAATATGGTTAATTTAAGTATCTTTTACCAGTATATTTTTCATGAAAAACACTTTTATTATATGAACTGTATTTTGAGCAATACCTTATTAGTTCACCCAATTTCTGGAAAATTTCCAATAATCTACCCAGCAAAACCAGTTATCAACATCACACCAGCCAGACAATTCAGACTTACTTTCAGTCAGGAAAAAAAGCATTTTTTCATTTTTTGAACTCAGTGTGACAATACATATTTTGAGGAATTTTATAAAATCTCATCAATAAGGAAGTGTATGAAGGATATATTTAAAATACAAAAATTAGCCAGATGTGGTGGTGCACGCTTGTAATCCCAGCTACTTGGGAGGCTGAGGCAGGAAAATTGCTTGGACCAAGGAGGTGGAGGTTGCAGTGAGCCAAGATTGCGCCATTTCACTCCAGCCTGGGCGACAAGAGTGAAACTCAGTCTCAAAAAAGAAAAAAAGAAATTATCAGTAATGAAGAAAACATAATTTATAAGTAAATACATCTTATACTAATACTAAGTAGTAAAGTCAAGATTAAGATTATATAGATCTAATCTAATTTCTATGTTAAAAAAAATCTTCATCTCCAACTGTGTACCTTTAAACCTAATCAATGTATAGGAAAGCTAGAATTTATTGAAGTAGCAAAATTCATATATAAAATACAGATCATGCAGTTCTGAAAAGTGTATACTATTTAAAAACTCATTCCAACAGCTAGCACACTTATAGTTTTTATTAGGATGTAGAAAATATAAGATGGAGATTGCTTAATTGAAATAAATATTTTATATAATTTGATAAAAATAATTTTAACTCTTAGCAACTCAACATGGAATCTGTAAGAAATCACATAATATGTTAATTTCATTTATGACTTTTATCTAGTTTAAATTTAAAAAATTGAAGTTGCTTTGAAAAGAATGCCACTGATTTGTTCTGCTTTAGCTCTTCAGAACTGCTTATTGTTCTACCTAATGACAAATCCTAGGAATGATGTTTGAGAATATTATTTGCTTTGCTCTTATCGGTCTCCTGAAGAGCAATGAATTTTTAAATAATAGTTAGGGTCATTAAGGGAAGATTACCCTCACTCCCTCTGGTCATATTATATAGTTAATTTCGGCGTCCCAACCAGGACCAGTATACCCCCATTTCAGTTGTGCTTTATGCCTAATAGAAATTCATGTAAACAGGGAAGACCAGAAAACCTATAGTGATTCTATGTTGCCTGTATTTGTCAGTAAAGAAGGCTTTCCCTAATCAGTATTTTGAACTTTACTCCTTTGGCACCCAGGAGGACTTGACACTCCAAGCAGTGTACCATAATCATGTCATGGATGGATAGAGGAATATGCCTTTTCTCTTTTTTTCTTTTAAGAAAGAACAAGGGATACTGTGAAAAAGGGAGAGCAGGGAGAAGAACTTTCAAGGATGCTAGAAAAGAGTTTACATGGAATTTGAGGATCTGGGAGTTGATTCCTTTAAAACCAACAGTTCAGCTTACCTTTTAAAAGTCTTCACTTACCTCTGGATCCAGTAATCCCAGTTTGGTAACTACTGACATGAACTAAATAATGCAGTTCTTGGTATGTAGCAAATGTTAAATAATTGATAGCTATTGAGAAGTAGGGAAAAAAATTACAGTCACCATTTGTTACTGTCATTGGTTCTCAGGTTTTAAACAGCAGTCACCCTGATGAGTTCAGTTACCACTACGGTGCAGGAGATTTAGCAAGATTGTTTTAATAACCATCAAACAAACAGATGCCCATACATCCCCATTTTAATTTGGCCAAATGTCAGCCTGCTGGGAAGTGCTGTTTTACAAATTTAGACCTGACAGTTCAGTCAGAGTCTATAAAGAAGTCATCCCTGCGGCATTTGGGAGCCATACTAAGGCATTGCAGTTACCAGCATGGAGTAGAGGCCCTCCTCTGGAGCCAGTGGAGGAAATGGAGGAAAACCGTAGTACAGCAATACTGCTTTAGAAACTTGGCAGCACTCGGGGCTACCTTCTCAAAGCATAAGCCTTTCTAATTCAAGAAAAATTGCCTTGCCTTAATCCCACAGTTAAACATTTACTGAGGCAGAAATAGAGAAAGAATAGCCTTGTTTTATATGAATACTAGTTTAGCTAAGAAACAGTTTTCATAGATTTGATACCCTTTGATGCTTATTAGAAATCCTTCTAACTATAGGTAATTATTAAAAACTATGTTCTAAGAAATCGTATAACTGAACTGAATGTCAGAATGGTTTATATGAGAATGATTCAGATTTAAAGTACAGTCCCCCCCCTACCATTATCTATGGGGGATAAATTCCAAGACCCCCCATCAAGTGTCTGAAATAAATACTTACATACACTATACTGTTTCCTATACATACATACCTATGATAAAGTTTAATTTATAAATTTTATACAGAGATTGCAACAAAAACTAATAATAAAATATGGTTATAACAATATGCTGTAATAAAAGGTATATGAATGTAGTCTCCCTCGCTCTCTCTCAGATTATTATTCTTGTACTGTGTTCACCTGATTTCAGATTGCAGCTGATCACAGGTGACTGAAATCATGGAAAATGAAGCCACAGATAAGGGGCTGTCTATTGTCCAACTTGAAATAAATATTGTGATATGATAGGTTGCTAAGAAGGTGACCTTTGAGAACTAAAGTTTTTTTCTTGCTTTATCATTAATTGGGAAATAATTCAGTCAACTATATTGCCTTCTCTGTGTTTTATTAGTAACATGCAATAGAAGTATGACTTTAACATTTAAAAGGGATACTGTGAGAATTTCACACATTTATAACACTTTAAACTTGTAAAGCAAAGAGCTATCTTAGTAGATTACAAAATGAGTGGAATTCATTTTTAATTTTCAAGAAATATTTTCTGCAGATTCAAGAACAATCACATGTTCTCTCAACATAAATAATTTCTTATTTAGAAAACCTTTGTAATAACTTAGTGGTGAGATTGCTTTGTTAAAAGTATGCTTTTTTTTTTTAGTAAAAGATGATGAATGCGAGTCAGATGCAGAAAATGAGCAAAACCATGATCCTAATGTTGAAGAGTTTCTGCAACAACAAGACACTGCTGTCATTTTTCCTGAGGCACCTGAAGAGGACCAGAGGCAGGGTACACCAGAAGCCAGTGGTCATGATGAAAATGGTAAATGGATCTTAACAACTGTGTTTCTTTCCCTGTTTAAAGGATTGTTGTTTCTACCATTCTACTATGGAACTTGCTCTACTATTGGGAACATTCTTGAGGACCAGACTTTATTACAGATGCCTATAGAGAGCAGTCTGTTTCATTAATGGAACACTATGGTGACCACACAGTAATAAATTATTAGCTGCTCATGTATTGTGGTAGTAATGCCACTGCATATGAAATGCTTAGAACAGTATCTGGACATCAAATTCCATTTACTTACATGGCAGTAGGCAGTAGAAGCGAGAAATAGAATAACCCTTACTGCCCTTTGATTCTTTCTCACTCTTCTTGTAGCAAATAAAAATATGGTTGCCTGCTTTGTACAAGAACATACTAATTTGGAGACAGTGGTTTTTCTGAATCTGCCTTATTCCACTCGGATATGAATAGTCAGTGTACAGAGTGTGGAAAATACAATAAAAATGTGTTCAGACTCTCCTGAGAAGAAATAGGCTGTGTTACAGTTTTGGAGGAAAAGACTATGTTATTGTTCACCAGAAGAAAGTAGGTTATCAAAGAAATGAAAGGGAAATACAAAATTTAAAAATATATATGTATTTATGTAAAATTTTTAGTGACTAAAGGCTTTCAAAAAGCCTCACTGAAAGGAAACAATGAAATCTGAAGAAATGATCCATTATGTGGTTCTAATAAAGGTTAAACCTTTTAAAGTTCGTCAAGTCCACACAGTACAATCTAAAAATTGAGGAACTACCATTCTGAATTAGTAAACAGTTTGAATTATAGAATTAGTTGATTTTGTTATTCATTACTTTCAGATATTTAGTGTAATCTAATTCAATGCTAATAAAGCATTTGAAGTATTCTGTCATATCCACAACATTTGTTTACATATTTATTCCTTTTTATAACCAAATAGTATTAAATTGTGCATATATGCCATATTTTCTTCATCCATTGATGGACACTGAGGTTGATTCCATATCTTTGCTGTTGTGAATAGCACTGTAATAAGCATGGAGATCCAGGCATCTCTTTGATATACTGACTTCCCTTGGATAAATATCCAGTAGCAGAATTGCTGGATCATATAATAGTTCTATTTTTAGTTTTTTTGTGAAATCTCCATACTGTTTTCACAATGACTGTCCTAATTTTCATTCCCACCAATAATATATAAGAGTTCCCTTTTCTCCACATCTTCACTGGCATTCATTAGTTTTTGTCTTTAATAGCAATTCTAACTGGGATGAAATGATATATTATTGTGGTTTTGATTTGCATTTCTCTAATGATTAGTGATGGTGAGCATTTTTTCATATATCTGTGGCCATTTGTATGTCTTCTTTTGAGAAATGTTTATTCATGTCCTTTGCCTGCTTTTCAATAGGATTATTTGAGTTTTCTTAATCTGTTGAGTAGTTTATATATTCTTCATATTAGTCCCTTGTCAGATGAGTAGTTTGCAGATATTCACTCTGTTGTTTCCTTTGCTGTGCAAAAGCTTTTTAGTTTAATATAGTCCCATTTGTCAAATGTTTTTGTTGCCTTGCTTTGGAGGTCTTAGCAATAAAATCTTTGCCTACCCCAATGTCCTGAGTGTTTTCTGTGTGTTTTCTTCTAGTAGTTTTATGGTGTTGTGTCTTATGTTTAAGTCTTTCATTGGTCTTGAGTTGATTTTTGTATGTGGTGGAGATGGGAGTCCAGTTTCATTCTTCACATGTTAATAATCAGTTTTCCCAGCACCATTTATTGGAGAGTATGTCCTTTTCCCAGTGTAAGTTTTTGGTGCCTTTGTCGAAATCAAATGGCTGTTAATAATGTGGATTTCATTCTGGGTTCTCTATTCTCTTCCACTGGTCTGTGTATCTGTTTTATACTAATGCCATGCTGTTTTGGTTACTGTACCTTGTATTATATTTTGATGTCAGGTAGTGCAATGTCTCCAGCTTTGTTCTTTCTGCTCAGGATTGCTTTGGCTATATTGTTCTTTTGTGGTTACATAAAAATTTTAGGTTTGTTTTTTCTACTTCTGTGACAAATGACATAGATATTTTGATAGGGATTGGATTGAATCTGTAGATTGCTCTGGGCAATATGATCATTTTAATTAATTCTGATCCATGAGATCAGAATTTTAATTAATTCTGATCTTTCCATTTACTTGTGTCTTCTTCAGTTTCTTTCATCAATATTTTGTAGTTTTCCTTGAAGAGGTCTTTCACCTCCTTGGGTAAATTTATCCCTAAGTATTTTACTTTTTTGTAGCTACTATAAATGAGATGGTCTTCTTGATTTATTTCTCGTCTAGTTCATTATTGGTGTACGGAAACACTGCAGATTTTTTATGTTGATTTTTGTATCCTGCAGCTTTCAATTTATTTAGCAGATTGCAGAGGTTTTTGGTCATGTCTTTAGGTTTTTCTAGATATTAGATCATACAGTCTGCAAAGAGAGACTGTTAGACATCTTTTCCAAATTGGATGCCTTTTATTTCTTTCTCTTGCCCAATTGCTCTGGCTAAGACTTTCAATACTGTATTGAGTAGGAGTGGTGAAGGAATGGAAATCCTTTTCTGATTACACTTCTTAGAGGGAAGTCTGTCAGCTTGTTCCATGCAGTATGAAGTTAGCTGTGGTTCTGTCATATATGGCCTTTAGTATATGGAGGTGAACCATCTTTGCATCCATGGGATAAATCCCACTTGATCATATTGCATTATCTTTTTGACGTGCTGTTAGATTTAGTTCGTGAATATTTAGTTGAGGATTTTGTGTCTATTGTCATCAGGGATATTAACCTGGATAGTTTTCCTTTTTTGTTTCATCTTTCTCTGGTTTTGGTATCAAGATAGTGCTGGACTTACAGAATGAATTAGGGGGAATTCCCTCCTCTTCAATTTTTTGGAATAGTTTGAGGAGAACTAGTGTTAGTTCTTGTTTGATGGTTTGGTAGAATTCAGCAGTGAACCCCTTCAGTCCTGGACTTCACTTTGTTGGGAGATACTCATTATGGATTCAATCTCATTACTCATTATTGGTCTGTTCAGGTTTTCTGTTTCTTTCAAATTTAATCTTGGTAGGCTGTCTGTGTCCAGAATATCCATATCCTCTAGGTTTTTCAGTTCTTTCATGTATAGTTGTTCATAATTGTCTCTTTTGTATTTCTGTGGTTTCATTTGTAAGTCGTCTTTTTCATTTTTTATTTGCATCTTCTCTGTTCTTTTCTAGTCTAGCTAGTGGTTTATCAGTTTTGTTACCTTTTCAAAAAACCAACTTTTTGTTTTGTTCTTTGTGTTGTTTTTTAGTCTCCATTTCATTTATTTTGTTCTGATTGTTATTATTTCTTTCCTTCTACTAATTTAAGGTTTGCTTTGTTCTTGCTTTTCTAGGTTCTTGAGGCACATTGTTAGATTATTTATTTGAAATGTTTCTATTTTTTGATGTAGGTATTTATTGCTATATACTTCCTCTTAGTAGTGGTTTTGCTGTATTTCATAGGTTTTGGTATGGTTCTGTTTTGATTTTCATTTTCATTTAAATAAATTTTAATTTTAATTTCATTTAAAGAAATTTTAAAATTTCCTCCTTATTTCTTCCTTGACCCAGTGGTTATTCAGAAGCATGTTGTTTAATTTTCATGTGTGTGTAGAATTTCCAAAGTTCCTCGTATTATTAAAATCTATAGTTGTTTTACTTTGTGGTCTAAAAGCTACTTGATATGATTTTGGTTTTTAAAAATTTGTTTGAGACTTGTCATGTGTCCCAACATACAGTCTAGAGTATGTTCTGTATGTTGATGAGAAGAATGTGTATCCTTTAGTTGGTTGAAATGTTCTGTAAATGTCTCAGGTCCATTTGGTATAAAATGCAGTATAAATTCAGTGTTTCTTTGTTAAGTGTCTTTCTACATGATCTGTCTAATGCTGATAGGGGTGTTGAAGTCCCTAACTATTATTGTATTAGAGTCTCTCTCCCTTTAGATCTAATAATATTTTCTTTATATAAGCAGGTGCTTCAGTGTTGGGTGCATATATGTTAAGAATTGTTATATCTTCTTACTGAATTGATTCTTTTGTCATTATTTAATGACCTTCTTTTGTCCCCTTATACTGTTTTGTTTACTGGATTTAGGAGTTTATCTCATTATGGCTACTATTGCTCACTATGGTTTCCATTTGCATGGACATCTTTTTCTGTCCCTTTACTTTCACTCTATATGTATCTTTACAGATGAGATGAATTTCTTGTAGGCAGTACATAGCTGGTTTATAGTTTTTATCCATTCAGCCAATCTTTTAAGCGGAAAGTTTAATCCATTTAGGTTATTATTATTGATATGTTAGAGCCTATTTCTGTCATTTTATTTTTGTTTCTGGTTGTTTTGTATATCATTTGTTCCTTTCTTACTGATTATTATTGTGGTTTGGTAGTTTTCTGTAGTGGTAACATTTGAGTTCTTTCTCTTTCTTATTTGTACTTGCTCTACCAGTGGGTTTTATATTTTCATGTGTTTTCATTATGGTAGATATTTTCCTGTCACTTCCAGGGATAAGACTCCCTTAAACATTTCTTGTAGGGCCAGTCTAGTGGTCATGAATTCTCTCAGCTTTTACTTGTTTAGGAAAGACTTTATTTCTCTTTCATTTATGAAGGATAATTTTTCTGGGTATGAGATTCTTGGCTGGCAGGGTTTTTTTCTTTCAATACTTTGAACAAATGTATCATTTCTTTCTCTCCTAACCTATAAAGTTTCTGCTGCTAAACTGCTGTTAGTCATATGGAGGTTCCCTTACAAGTGATCAGACACTTTTCTCTTGTTTTTAGAATCTCTCTTTGTCTTTTACTTTTGACAGTGAATATAATGTGCCATGGAGAAAATCTTTTTGAATTGTATCTGTTTGGGGATTCACTGAGCTTTCTGTATCTGGATGTCTAAATCCTTTGCTAGACTTGGGAAATTTTTGGCTATTATTTCATTAAATAGGTTTTCTATCCCTTTTGTTTCCTCTTTGCCTTATAACACATCAAAAATTGGAGTATTTGGTTGCTTTATAGTTTCTTACTGTCATGCAGGTTTTGTTCATTTTTTTTATTCTCTTTTTGTCTTACTAGGTTATTTTAAAAGACCTGTCTTCAAGTTCTAAAATTCTTCTTCTGCCTGACCTAGTCTATTGCTGAAGCTTTCAGATATCTTTTGTCTTTCATTCAATGAATTCTTCTATTCCATAATTTGTTTAGTTCTTTTTTATGAAACTTACCTCTCTGGTAAATTTCTCATTCATATCCTGATTTGTTTTTGTGGTTACTTTGTGTCGCTTTTCTGTGTTTTCTTGTGTTGCTTTTCTGTGTTTTCTTTCACTTAGCTTTTATAAGATCATTATTTTGAATCTTTTCCCAGGATTTCATAAATTTATTTTGATTAGAATCTGTTGCTGGATAATTACTGTATATTTAGAGCTGTCATTTTCTTACCTTTTTCATGTTTCTTATGTTCTTACCTTGATATCTACACATCTGGTATAATAGTCAGTTATTCTAGTTTTTTGGATTTGCTTTCGTTGGTTGAGTAGGGCACTTTGGCTTTGATTCTGGGTATATGTGGTAGTGTAATTTCTGTGTAATATATCTGATTATAAGTAGTGTGAGTAGGGTCTGTGATTTCCTTCTTGGCTTATGGTGCAATTGTTAGTGGAGGCTGAGGTGAAGTTTGGCTGGGACAGGGATGCCAGGTGGAACATTCCTTGGGTCCTAGTCGTGGTAGTAACGGGCCTATGGTACCTGTCCTTAGACCACAGGGTGGCTCACTGACACCTTGTGTTAGCAAGTCCAGGTGGGCTGATCCTTGGACCTCCAGGTGGCTTGCTTGGGTGCTGCTAGTGGCAGTGCTAAGCTGGGCAGGTAGGCAGGTTCTCAGGCTCCTGGGCAGTGGATGTCACTTGGTCAATGGCAGTAGCAGTGGCAGGATAACCCCCTGGTTCCCTAGTGATTCACGCTGGTGTTGGCAGTGACTGCAATGGGCTGGGTGAGTCAGTCCCCAAGCCTACTGGTGGTGCATGCAGGAGCATGCCAGCTGTGGTGATAGTAGCAAGTTGGGTGGACCCAACCTCAGGCCTCCAGGAGGAGTGTTCAGGTGGCAACAGTGTTGGACTGGGCTGGGTGATCCCCCAGGTCCCTGAATAGCATGCTCGGAAACTGGGGAGGAGGTAAGCTGGGCCAGATGGACCTGTCCTCAGGCCTCTTGGTGGTGTATGTAGGCACTGGCTATCATGGTAGGGGCAGGATGATCCCAGGCCACCAGCAGAGTGCTCAGGTAAGGACATCAGTGTTTGCACTGTAGCCTTCCTACTGGGGAGGGCAAGGTTGCTCTCAGTGGCAGCAGCCATAGGGAGGGAGCTGGGAAATGTGTGCTTTAGCCCCAGACAGCGGCTGTGATGGGGTAGCCTGTCCTCAGGTCCCTTATAAATTCATGGCCGCTCAACTGCTGAGGAAATTGGGGTCACTGCCAGTGGCTAGCACTTTGTCCCCAGCGGTGGAAGCTCACAGTGGCAGCAGTCTGTTGGGAAGTCTGTCCTCGGGGCATGTAAAAATGTCTGCAGCTCCTCTGCTGGGGGGAAATATGGTCACTTTCAATGGTTTGCACTTCAGCCTTAGCAGCTGCAACCAGCGTCAGTGGTGGCTGTGAAGGGAGGTATGTCAGAGGGGCTCCAGGCATGTGAAGATGAAGGAGCTGTTGGGTCCCAGAACAAGATGTAGTCTGCTGGGGGTTGGGCTCTCAAAATAGTGCTGTGCTGTAGCTACTTAGAACTCAGGGGATATACAGATTCAGCATAAGCTCCCTCTCCGGAGCAGCATTGTCATGTGGCCTCCAGGTACCTCCCTGTGTTAGTCTCAGAGCCCACAATGGTCAAGGAATCTCCCATGGCTAGGACTGCAGGAGTCCATGGTGGGAATGTGGACCCCTGGGGGTCTCTCACTTACTCTTTCCCTGCATTGGAGAGCCTTTGCAGGTTGCTTCACTTCCTTCTTCCTTACTCGAGGTGTTTCCTGTCACTTTTCTGTTGAATTCCAGTGTTCTCTCTTAGATGATCTATGTGAAGTGTGATTATCTACTCATTATTTTGGTTTTTCCTTGTAGAGAAGGTGAGTACTAGATGCCTCTATTGAGCCATCTTGAAGCCCCTCTCTCAACATGTTTGACCAACTGTTTAACATTCAGGTGCTCAGTCTATTATTTGCAAGCTGGTCCTTGAGCAAGACATTTGATTTATATGGACTTAATAAAGGAGTATATGTTTAGAAAGCACTTGGAGATTTTATGAAATTATCTTTGGTGGTTTGTTTTTCTATAGTGAATTCAAAATGAAAATAGAGATGATATTTACAAAAAGATATCACTTAGTAACTTATTTCATTGAAGAAATATCAAATATGGAAAACTACTCTTAGTTAAATAGTATTAATTGGCAAAACACTACATTTTAGGATTATCAGGCTTAGACAGCTCCAAGTGTAAAAATAAAGTTCATTCAGTAAACTCTATTCAGAATGCCTTTGTTTTCTAAAAGCTATATATATTCATACATACACAGTTATATAGCATATTTGCCAGTGTATTTCAGTAGGGGAAGTTATAAGCAGGGTCATGCATGGGATGTGTTTATGTAGCAGGCCTAGATCTGGCCCCCATCAGTCTTTCCTTCCCTACCTTACACACTTCCTTTTTGGTCTGAACTCAGTCCTGTGGCCACACCTACCTGCAAGGGGCTCTTGGAAACAGTCTGTGTACTGTTTCCTCTTTGATGATAATGAGTTGGTAGTTTCATTTTCAAAATCAGAGGAATAAACCTTAAATAAATAATGATACATACCATTGTTACCAGTAGACCCTGTTGTAGAGCACAATTCCCCTTTAATCTGTATACACTTACAAAGGGCAACCTACATTCTAATTTTACTTTTGTTTTATTTTCTGGCTAATCACATGACAAAAGGGAAGAATTATGGTTTAGGGAAAAATATGGGACTTGAAGGTCAGACAGCCCGTATCTGAACCCTGACTTCATCATTTTCTGGCTCTGTGACTTTTCTTTTAAGTTATTTAGCCTTCCTGGGCACCAGTGTTCTCTCTCTTACAAAATAGAGGTATCATTGTATTGTTTTGAGGATCAAATATGAAATGGGCAGCACAATATCTGGAACATAGCATAGGGAGTCAGTGGAAACTTTGGTAATATATTCTGAATGTTTTAAGTTTAAAATATATGATCTTTCTTTTACAGGAACACCAGATGCATTTTCACAGTTACTCACCTGTCCATATTGTGATAGAGGCTATAAACGCTTTACCTCTCTAAAAGAACACATTAAATATCGTCATGAAAAGAACGAAGATAACTTTAGTTGCTCCCTGTGCAGTTACACCTTTGCATACAGAACCCAACTTGAACGTCACATGACATCACATAAATCAGGAAGAGATCAAGTAAGTGCAATGACTGAGAGTTCACTAACTTTCCAGATTTTGACAACTCAGCCCTCAATGGAAGGCAAGGATTTTAATATATTTAAACATTAAAAGAATGTACTAAACAGTGCTATATCTGCAGCCTTATAAAAGTGAAAATGATTATTTATTTGAGTTATCCGGTCATTCCTGAGATTAAAAACCACATATGAACGTTATTTTAGAGGTAACTCAGGATTTTTTTCAGATAAGACCCTTTCCATCTTGACTTAATTATTTTGCTTATGCCATAACAGATAATTCTTTAAGTTTAGAAGATTTTAAATTGCATTCTATTAAAATGTTCAGTGTAGGAAAAATAAATGCTGACTATATAAACCACATTTTACTAACCAAATTAACAAGAAAGTCAAATTTAAAAGTTTAATTTTCTTTGAACCAGTTACTATGTATTCTCAGTATAAACTGCTGTGGGGTTTTTTTTTTTTGGTTTTTTTTTTTTTTTGGTTTTTTTTTCTTTTTTCTGCCATAGTAAAGGGAGTTGCCTCCTCTAAAAATCTGAAGTTTAGATTTTTTTATTCTGAAAACTCAATTTTTATATGGTTTATTCTATTTCTATGTCACTGTGCCACAGTTTGTAGAGTATAAACCAAGACTGTTTTGTAACTGTAAGTTACATTTAAATTGCTGGTTCTATATTTAGGATTAAAGTCAAGAAAGCTTTTATCAGTTGTTCTTCTTTTACAAGGTCCTCATAACTAGCAACCATCAACAATGAAATTAATATTGCCTTAATTGTAACTTTAAAAATTAAATAAATTTTCAACCACATAGGGTTTGTGAGCGTATATGTTGGGGTTAGGGCACATTTCCAGTTTCTTACATCAAAGAATGATGTATATCTATATACCTGAACTCTGTCCTATGGATGTACCTAATATGTGTCACATATCCCATAGAGAACAAGTTAGACCATTTGCTAAGGTGATGGCTAGGCCAAACAAACAACAACAAAAAATTGTAACAGAAAAAGAATGACTGAGCAGAGTCAACCTATTTCCTTAGTACTTTGGCAACAGTACTCATGATAACAAGATAATAAGAAGAGGGTGGCAATCAGGGAGAATAGAACCAAGATTTTATAGGTTAATGGTCCATAAGCCCATGAAGGAGCACTTGAAACAGGTAAAAGCTCCAAGAGAAGGATGAAATTAATACAGAGAAGGGATGACTGAAGGCAAACACCGTCTCCTTCTAAGTGCCCCTATTAATGAATCTTATCAGACACAGACCAGCAGAAGAGTATGTCTTATACCTTAGCGCTCTGATGTGGCCACAGTGTAGACAAGGCTTGGGAAAGAGCCTACTCACGTGACATTCAGGAAGCAGACCCATCCTGAGCTGCTGCTACCATATTCCCTCTACTCCAAGGGCCATCATAAAAGGAGAGGACAGATTGAACTGGTGGTGAAAGCAGAAGATGCCATTATAAAAACAAACTCCAAAATATTTAATGAGCATGAAAACCAATTCTATGATGATTTTTCCAGTGGGTGCAAACGTGGTAGGATTTACATATAAACTGTGGGTCAGACTAAGGTCAGGAAGGAGCTGTGATAAATATGGGGACCAGTAATGTGAGGAAATATAACAGGTCTTGGAAACAATTTAGTTTGCAAGGTAGCAAACTAAAAGGTAGAATGTGTATTTTGTTGGCCCTTGAGAATCATACTGTGACTAACAAGCATTTTCAAGTCTTACTAACTTATTTATTCAACAAACATTTGCATTTCTTTTATATGTGAGGCCCTCTTCTGGGTGTTAAAGGCACAGTAGTGAAAAAGAAAGTCCCTGATAGTAGGGACCATACATTAGTAGATTATATAAAACAGAAATAAAATAATATGTACTATGAAGAAAAATACAGCAGGATAAGAGGATAGAAAATGATGAAAGCTGCTAGGTTTCACAGAGAAGGGAGACTTTTCTGAGAATGGGACATCTGAATACAGTTAAGGAGCCAGTCATGGAATATTGGAGAAGGGTATTCCAGTCAGAGGAAACAGTGAAACGTAAGAAAGCCTTGAGGCCAGAACCTGCCGGGCACACCCTGAGAACAGCAGAGGCCAGTGTGAAAGGGAGAAAGGTAAGGCCAGAGAGGCGCTGGGGGCTACATATTATAGGCCGATTTGTAGGCCAAGATAAAGACTTTGGATTGTATTCTCAAGTGCAGTGGGGAAGCCTGTCAAGGATCCTGGAATTTTTAATTTTTATTTTTAGGGGAACACTGACTGTTGGATGATAGATAAGAGAGACAAGAACGGAAGCAGGGAGAACATTTAGAGGCTTTTGCTGTAATCTAGGCCAGAGAGTTTGGTGGCAGACAGATAAATAAGATTGTTGGCTTCAGAATATGTTCATATGCTTGCTGATGGATTGGGTGAGGGTACATGAGTAAGAGGGTAATCAAGAATAACTCCAAAGTTTAAGGCCTAAGCTATAACCAAATAAATGAGAGTGCTATTCACAGAGATGGGAAATACTAGAGAAGGAGCTGGCTTATAGGAGGGAAATTAAGAGTTTGGTGTTAATCATGTAAAGTTTCATATCTCTATCACCTTCCAACTGGCAATATCAAAGAAGCAGTAGGTTGTAAAAGTCTGGAGTTAAGGGGAGAGGTTTAGAGATACAAATTTGGGAGTTGTCACCATATATTTGGTATTTTAAGTAATGGGTTTTAATGAAGTGGGACTTGATTCAAAGTAAGTACTAATTCTCTTTCCTTCCTGTATAAAAGGCAAAGGAAGGGAGATTCCAGTTGGGAGAGCATGAAGCAGTAGTTGAGTTAAGCCGTTAAAGGATGGGTAGAATCTTAGTAGTCAAAATTATGGGAAAGCACAGTGAAGAAGTAAGGAATTATGTAAGCCAAAGCCAAAAGATAAAGAGGAGCAATATGTGTGCAGGAAACCATGGCTCACAAATGACTGAGACATGGACTTGTCGTAAAAAACTGGTGAAAAATCATCTTGGAAACTCAGGGACTAAAATCTTGGAATCTATAGACTCGGAATCTTTATTGAGGGGTTAATGGGGATCCTTCAGCGGTTTATGAGCAGGAGTTGATAGAATTCAATTCAAGCAATGCTTTTGTAAGATTAATCTAGGTATGAAGAATACATTTGAAATATGTGAAAATGGGAATTTGATAAACCAGACAGAAAGCTATTATAATCCCATTTGGCTGAAAAAACTAGAAGTATCTTTTTAATCATCAAAGTACATTTTTGGAAATATCAAATGGAAAAGACAGGATAAAGTACAGGGAAAAGCCCGTCTTCTCTTCAGGACCTTGTTCTATTGAGTGAGTTTTAAACAGGTTATTCAGTATCTGTGGATGTGATTTCTATATCTATAAATTGGAATGCAAACAAATTAACCTCTAGTTCCTAGCAAAGTATATATTACTTTATTTTTGCTAATTTTGAATATTGCTTAATAAAGGATGAACTCTGATACTTTAGAAAGTTGATATTTTTCTGTATCAAATTCTGTCCCCACTGTCACTATCCTTTTTGGTAATAATTTCAAGAGTTACATTTTTGTGACTGCTACAACTGCTAGTAATTTCAAGAGGTAGATTTTTGTGACTGCTGCAATTTGAGGTCTTTAAGGAACAAAACAACCATCAGGCTCACAAAAATGTTACTCTTAGCAGATTGGATGTTCTTTAGTCTAAAAATCTTTTGCTTTACAAATAAAATACCAATTCTTTTCTTACAGAGACATGTGACGCAGTCTGGGTGTAATCGTAAATTCAAGTGCACTGAGTGTGGAAAAGCTTTCAAATACAAACACCACCTAAAAGAGCACTTAAGAATTCACAGTGGTAAATATTTTTTTTCTTTCTACACCCTGAATATCAGCATATGTGGTAATAAATAAATATCGTAACATGTGATCTATGTACATGATCAGAAACTCCTTGCATTTCTTTTGGCATACACTAATAGAGAGAAATTGTATGTTTATTTTCTGTTTTATTAGAGTCTTAACCTTTGACTAAAGTATATCAAATTAATATAGTATGACATACTCCACATTTCCTACTGAGAAGATAATATAGCATGTTTTAGTAAGTACAACCTGAAAACACGTTAACTTTCTGATGAATGTAAATGTCATTGCCTCTTTTGCACAATTAACAGGGGAATGGAAAAGAGTATAGAGATACGATTTGCACAAGAAAATAGAGAAGTGAAGGATGTCCTTTATTTGAGAGAAGTAGAAATGGAACTCAAGATTAGAAAATATTGGAGAGATGATATGGAGGCAATGAGAGGGGGTGAAAGGATTACAGCATTAATGAGAATCTAAAAGAAAAATGTGCTCACCCACCATCTTCACCTGTCTATTCCATGTCATTCTCTATATTACTTACAAGGTTAATACTATTATGTGATGAAAGTGTTGTGTCTATTTTAGAAACTCAGAGTAAACAGAGAGCTATATTTACATTTCTTTGGAGACTCTACTTGAACAAAAGCACAAAAGGAAAACTCTTTAGCATCCCACGATGCCTTATGAAATCTGTTCGTCTAATAAATTTTGATATGTTATTTTAGATTTAAATAATTTTAATGCAAAAATTATTAACCATGAATGGGAAATTATGGGTGCTCACACATTGCTTATTTTGTGAAAATTATGTATTGACATTTACATTTTACAAACATCTTCTTACAAAAAAAGTATAGTTGGATAGCTTTGTGAAGCATAGTTGGTGATATTTATGTTTTATTTTGGAACTAGATTTCTAAAAGTTTTACTGTATTTCTCATTAAAGCTAACCCTCAGTGTTAAATGTGCTGAAGTTACCACTTGAAAATGCTCAAACCAAGATCCTTACCAAAACATTTATTTTCACACATTGATTAATGTTTCTAAAAAGTAGAGGTTGTCTTTTGCAGCCCGCCACAATATCCTATTTCTTAGCTCCTATGCTATTGAACAGTTTTTATCAATAATAATATATTTTAACAACCTACCTTCTTACCAGAGATGATTTAAAGTTGTTAATAGAGATATAGCTAATTTCAAGAGGGATTTTTAAATGTCGAAATCAGGGCAGAAGAAGGAAAATAAAGCTAACAGTAAGATTCATGTATATAATGAGTCATATTCATTTTGTCATAGTGCAGTCATAGAGGAAAATTTATCAGATCTATAAATAATACAAAGTTGGGAAGTATAAATCAGAACAAGGATTGAGATACTGGTCTAGAAATAAGAAGTTGAAAGTTAAGCATTGGTATTTAAAAATCAGTCTCAATCAAGTAGTAAATTTGAATGGCCCAGAGCTTAATATGAGCTGAATGTATGCTGCTACTGCTCAAAAGCTAATGCAAATTTAGGCCAGATCATGGAACACAAAGCTCCCACTGTACTCTGCACTGTCCCCTCATTATGTACTTATTTCTGTCTTGCTTTTGAAACATCGAATGTGAAGCTTGTATACCTTTACCATAGCAAGTAATTTTAATTTAAAAATATGTAAGAAAAATTAAGAAAGACTAACATGAAGTAAATTGTGGGGGAATAAATGAATGCTGAGAAATGCCATACGTATGCTGGAAGTAGACCACAAATTAAGCTCTAAGGTTTAGGAAGTAAGAAAATGACAATCAGTAACCAAGACCCAGGGTGTCTGTAAGTAAAAAAAAAGATCAGTTGCTAGAAAAAGGACTACTCCTTCCTGATACCAAGTCCATAGAAAATGTTATTCCTTGGAACAACATAAAGAGAAAAGAACAAAACAGAAGTTATGTAATCCTCAGAAATATTCTTAAAATAACACAGCAGAGAATTTGATAGGGTTTCTTTTTTAAATCAGATTATTCAATAGAAGCCAGTCATAGATCACCAAAGTGCAATTTAGGAAAAGCATTGCTCCAGGGTGACCACGTAGATACAGTTCAAGTACACAGCTCTCTGATGGTCTGGTTTATTCCAAGAGAAGATTTTTGAGCAAAGGCTACCCAAAGTGTCAGCTCAGGATTGGTACCAGTCTGCAAACCATGTGTTACTCATTCTTGAAGAGATAAGTACAGAAAATGAGAGTAAGCATTTAGCATTTATTATACCAAGACTTTGAGACATTTTACTATATTTTATAAAATATTGGTCCACAGTAGATTGGAAACTTAAAAAAGAACCAAACAAAACCAATCGGTCGTTCACCACAATTAGTTTGAAAAGTTCTGTTTGGAGTATCTAATAATGGATGAGCTGAATATCCTTTAGGAAACCTCCATAACTTTCTTTTCACATGACTTTTAAAAGATGTTAAGAATCAGGATCCAAAATTATACCCCCTAAAATTTCCTATATTGTTGCTAAATACTGGTACCCAAAATATTTTGATCATGACCCTATGCCGAACCATGTGTGTTGATAATTAGTTGATTCTTCACGTAGGAATTGAGCTCTCATGAGGAAAAGGCCACCAGACCTCCACTCAGATTAGAGACAAAAGAACACCTGCACATGGCTGTGATCCACCCCCAAAAATAATTTTCCGTGGTCTTAGTAATTTTTGCCTGGAAAATTTTTATATCAGATGCAGCCAAACACCCACCTCAGCCATTTAAAAAAAAAAAAAAAAAAAAAAAAAAAGTCATTATACATAGCATACCGAACGTTGAGTAGTAAAACTTCCTGATGTAACCTTCAGGCTAAACTACTTGTAAACCCTAACCTCAATAGATAAATTAGGTGATATGCCTAAGCTATAAACTATAAAGCTATGAAGCTAGAAACAAGGAGTTTTATAACAAATATAGTTGCTTTGGCTTTAGAATAATTGTTGTATAAACTTCCTTTCTGTCAATGATAAAATATCAAGATAATTTTTAACAATAATAATGATAACTAGCACTTATTGGACCCTTAGCTATGTACAGCCACATGTTAGTTATTTGTATGCATTCATTCATATAGTGCACAGGATAAACCTGTGCAGTAGATTTTATTATTTTCTTCTTTTTACTGATGAGAAAATTGAGGCTCAGAGGACTTAATTAACTTGTCCAGGGTCACTCAGGTAGTACATGGCAAAGCTAGGGCTGTGATGTAGTCATCCTGACCCATAGTCATTCCCTTACCTACCATTCTTCTCTGTCTCCCTGTTTTAAAAAATGAAATAGTCTGTATTATCTAGAAGTCTGTGTCTCTAGAAGGAAAATAAGCATGTAGTTCATGTAAAAATGTTATCAAGTAATTAAAAGTGTTAAAATAGAGATATACTATATTCCTTGTTTTACCCCCACTGGAAACTTTTGTCTGATGTATTTTGAGAGTTGAATCCTATTCCAGGCATCGCATTGGAAAAATATTGATAAATTGGAGAATCTCCAGAGGTGGGTTAACAAACAGGTAAGGGTTCTAAAAACCACATCCTGTGCAGAATGTTTGAAGGACCTAGCTATATTTAACCTACATAAGAGAAGTTTAAGAATACATAAAGCAGCTCTTGATCCATTTGAAGGTTTGACTTGAGAAGAAAAGTTACACTTGTTCTGTGTGGCATCAGAAGGACAAACTAGGATAGGGAACTAGGCATCATAGCAAGCCGACTTTGGCTGAAACTCAGCCTGTCTCTTAGTAGAATTGCCTTTTTAAAAAGTGACTAGCATTTGTTGAGAGCATACTAAGAGTTTTGCTATATAATCTCATATGACCCCTATGACAGTCCAATGAGAATGTATCTGCATTTGCACATTGAAAAACTAAGGCTTGGAAAGCTTAAGAAAATAGTATGTGATAGAGCCAGGATTGGAACCCAAATCCATGGACCTCAGCAGAACCAGACAGGACCCTCCTGTGCAGGGCTGTCCAGCAGGTCCTAACTCCCCTTTTATTAAAGAAGCTCAAGCAGAGATGAGCTAGTGTCAGGAATGATATGAAATGAACTCTTCATTGAAAAGGAGGCTGTACTACAGGGCTTCTTAAATCTCTTCCAATTCTTATTTTTGATTCTTCAAATAATCATATTTATTAGAAAATATAACTCACATTTTGAACACATTTTAGCATTGAAGTTACTATTGAAGCTATTGTTAGTAGGGCTTAAGTTGACTTCCTCACTGCTTTCATTTTAATTCTTAAAAAGAACAGGAGGTGGAGAGTTTTATTTTCATACTTAGTAGACATCACATCTCATCACATCTCATCATTCAACAATTAGGCATTCATTCATCCAAAAAAGGTTTAATGAGCATCTTTGCAACCTGTGCTTTGATGGGTGCAAGGGATAAATGGCAAACAAGCCTCAGAGGCTTCTGCTTTACTAGAGCTTATAGTCTGTAACCTTTAAATTATAAGTTAGCGAACTGTAACTATAACTTAAAACTCAAAGGAAACATTAGGTTTGTAGGAAAATATTCCATTTAGCTCAGTACTTTCAAAATTTTCTACCAAAGTATCCCTAACAGCCAAGGAGAATAAATGCCTTGTACCCCACAGAGTCTAGCGAAGCAGCTTGAGTTTTATCATACCCACCGTCACTAAAATTGAAACTCCAAGATGCTTTGATACCCACTACAGTGTTTATCCTGGGGGTATATACATTCCAGTTTAATAAGCCAATGCTTATAGAATATCTTATATTTAAAGTTTTCCTCCCATTAGGGAAAAACTATTTTCAAGAAAGCCCTATGGGTACAGGAATTTTTATTAATCAAAGATAGATATTCATACTTGTTAAGTCATAAGGAACATTTTACTTATTTTTCTTTAATGTTTCTCCTACAGATGGTTGAATAAAGTAAAATATAGAAAATGATATAGGTTGGTGAAATGGAATAAGAAAAAACATACTTGAAAGAGTAGAATGTAATTACTTTTGGTACTTGAGAATTATTTGAAGTTACAAAGGTTGGCAGAAATATTATACACATATGCTGCGAAGATTCCATGATTGGTTAGCAGAACATGTACCTCAGACTAAGTTACTAGCGTTCATCACATTTATATAGGTTTTGAAGCTAAAAGGATGATTCTAAATAAAATTCTCTCACAAGCATACATGGCAGTCTTCTTTTTAAAATCGATATCGCTTATTTTAGGGAAATGAGGATACATAAAAATTTATATGTAATAATTCAGTGAATGTAATTTTTTGTTTGTTTAGGAGAGAAGCCATATGAATGCCCAAACTGCAAGAAACGCTTTTCCCATTCTGGCTCCTATAGCTCACACATAAGCAGTAAGAAATGTATCAGCTTGATACCTGTGAATGGGCGACCAAGAACAGGACTCAAGACATCTCAGTGTTCTTCACCGTCTCTTTCAGCGTCACCAGGCAGTCCCACACGACCACAGATACGGCAAAAGATAGAGAATAAACCCCTTCAGGAACAGCTTTCTGTTAACCAAATTAAAACTGAACCTGTGGATTATGAATTCAAACCCATAGTGGTTGCTTCAGGAATCAACTGTTCAACCCCTTTACAAAATGGGGTTTTCACTGGTGGTGGCCCATTACAGGCAACCAGTTCTCCTCAGGGCGTGGTGCAAGCTGTTGTTCTGCCAACAGTTGGTTTGGTGTCTCCCATAAGTATCAATTTAAGTGATATTCAGAATGTACTTAAAGTGGCAGTAGATGGTAATGTAATACGACAAGTGTTGGAGAATAATCAAGCCAATCTTGCATCCAAAGAACAAGAAACAATCAATGCTTCACCCATACAACAAAGTGGCCATTCTGTTATTTCAGCCATCAGTCTTCCTTTGGTTGATCAAGATGGAACAACCAAAATTATCATCAACTATAGTCTTGAGCAGCCTAGCCAACTTCAAGTTGTTCCTCAAAATTTAAAAAAAGAAAATCCAGTTGCTACAAACAGTTGTAAAAGTGAAAAGCTACCAGAAGATCTTACTGTTAAGTCTGAGAAGGACAAAAGCTTTGAAGCGGGGGTGAATGATAGCACTTGTCTTCTGTGTGATGATTGTCCAGGAGATATTAATGCACTTCCAGAATTAAAGCACTATGACCTAAAGCAGCCTACTCAGCCTCCTCCACTCCCTGCAGCAGAAGCTGAGAAACCTGAGTCCTCTGTTTCATCAGCTACTGGAGATGGCAATTTGTCTCCCAGTCAGCCACCTTTAAAGAACCTCTTGTCTCTCCTAAAAGCATATTATGCTTTGAATGCACAACCAAGTGCAGAAGAGCTCTCAAAAATTGCTGATTCAGTAAACCTACCACTGGATGTAGTAAAAAAGTGGTTTGAAAAGATGCAAGCTGGACAGATTTCAGTGCAGTCTTCTGAACCATCTTCTCCTGAACCAGGCAAAGTAAATATCCCTGCCAAGAACAATGATCAGCCTCAATCTGCAAATGCAAATGAACCCCAGGACAGCACAGTAAACCTACAAAGTCCTTTGAAGATGACTAACTCCCCAGTTTTACCAGTGGGATCAACCACCAATGGTTCCAGAAGTAGTACACCATCCCCATCACCTCTAAACCTTTCCTCATCCAGAAATACACAGGGTTACTTGTACACAGCTGAGGGTGCACAAGAAGAGCCACAAGTAGAACCTCTTGATCTTTCACTACCAAAGCAACAGGGAGAATTATTAGAAAGGTCAACTATCACTAGTGTTTACCAGAACAGTGTTTATTCTGTCCAGGAAGAACCCTTGAACTTGTCTTGCGCAAAAAAGGAGCCACAAAAGGACAGTTGTGTTACAGACTCAGAACCAGTTGTAAATGTAATCCCACCAAGTGCCAACCCCATAAATATCGCTATACCTACAGTCACTGCCCAGTTACCCACAATCGTGGCCATTGCTGACCAGAACAGTGTTCCATGCTTACGAGCACTAGCTGCCAATAAGCAAACGATTCTGATTCCCCAGGTGGCATACACATACTCAACTACAGTCAGCCCTGCAGTCCAAGAACCACCCTTGAAAGTGATCCAGCCAAATGGAAATCAGGTAAAAACCCCCAATCCTGAACCTGGCTAGTAAAATGCTATTTGATTAATTTCAATTAAGTTTATCTAATAAATATCAGTCCTGTAGAGCCAACTAGGTCATTTTTAAAAGGATCAGTGTCTGCTTTAACTTTTCTGGCGTGATGTCTTCAGTTGGTTGTTTGCTAATCCAGGGTATTGTTACCAGCTTGAAGTTTGAAATGCTATGCTATTGTGAAAGATGATTTGTAAGTCTCAGCTAAAAACCTGTTTGAAGTTAGAAATAAAAAAACAAAATTGAAATACTCGCTAATTGGGTTTCTGTTTGTATAGCTAAATTCCTGAAATTAGTAATAGTTTCTGCCTTGATTATGGTCATTAATAAATGAAAATATGTTCCCATTCACAGGTTCATACCAGGCAAACTTATCTATCACTTTTATATACTAATACATCTGTTTATAAAAGGTTTTAATTAAACAGGAATGAAGTATGCAAAGAATGCACCTTGTGAATTTACTGATCATTTTATGAACTGTGCATAAACAGTGTTCAGTCATAATGTATATGAGGAAGTGTGGCTGTGAACTTAAAAATATGTATGCATTTTCCTCCTTAACTATCACTAGTGTTTACGAGAACAGTGTTTATTCTGTCCAGGAACAACCCTTGAACTGGTCTTACCCCAAAATCCACAATAGTTTTGGATAGAGCTATTGTATGCCTCATTGTCCAGACTTTTTCCATGTCACTAATGTTGATGTTTTCCCATTTTTTCCATCAATTTCTGATGGAATCAAATGAATACTAGAGACAAATTTGGTATTTTATGCAAATGTTTTCTGTAAGTATAATAATTTCAATATCCTGCTCAAACGTGTATTTGCTGCTTTTGTTTTCCCTTAAATATTGCTACTGATTGGGTTTCCTGTATTTGTGATAACTCTTGAAAAAAATTTCTTACATGATCATTGAATTCCTCTAAATTTTTAGTGTACAGAACACTTTGAATGCCTTTGAATAGAAAAAGAGCCATCCTTAGCATTTCATATAGAATCACATGTCACGTGACTAGATCAAATAGCAGTGAGAGTCAAGTTACTTCAGCACTGGGGCCACTCACAAGTGACAAGAACAAATGGCTGCACTTCTCTTGCCTCATAAAGCCATAGGAAATATTGTGAAAAACCTTCAACTTTTAGAAAATTTGTAGGTTTGAGGCAATGGCATGGAACACTCTAGATAAGGTAGAAAGATCTTAGGGGACCCAGTTCCACAACAGGCTCCCTGCAGGGTTATTCGGCTTACATAAGAACGTGCTGCCCAAAATTATCTCCATGAGACTGCCTGGAGTTCCTTTTCATCGCCCTGGAATTCTAAAGGTTCATTTTGACTAGCAATTATTTCTGTTAAAAAGACCCTCCTGCATTGTTTTTCCATCTTGCTCCTTAGACAAGTGGTAGAGCACACCTCTCTTTTCAAAGAGACCGTGGAGGTTAAAGAACCCTGAAGGTCTGGAGGATACAATTGAAAGACCAGGTTTTAAAAATAGAATGTTAACTTTTGCTTAGTGAAACCCAGAATGAAAAAATGAAGGCAACTGATGCGGTTAGTAATGAGTGATTAATGAGCAAACTAATAAGTTAAAACCTGCAAATTTCTCGTAAAGTAATCATTTACTTGAAACCAGATAAACTCTGTTACTATATATTTTACATGTTTTCTTTTGGGTGTCCTTGCTTTCTTTCCAGTACCAGTTGAGTATATGTCTTTGCTATAGTTTTGACCGTGTTATCCCCAACCTCACTCTTGTCCTTGTCACCTCCACCTGTGATCTGGCCCCACCCTTGGGGCGCATGTGCAGTGAGGATCAGTGTACTTGCTTTGGTCAAGTCCTTGAAAGTATAAAAGTATAAGTTAAAGTAGTTCTTTATCTCATACTTTTATGTATATCTCTTGTTTATCTTTTAATGTTAAATTAAATTTTCTCACACCTTTCTTCCTCTAGGATGAAAGACAAGATACTAGCTCAGAAGGAGTATCAAATGTAGAGGATCAGAATGACTCTGATTCTACACCACCCAAAAAGAAAATGCGGAAGACAGAAAATGGAATGTATGCTTGTGACTTGTGTGATAAGATATTCCAAAAGAGTAGTTCGTTATTGAGACATAAATATGAACACACAGGTATGTCAGTGAACACAAACATATTCAAAAGTGTCCATGATATGATATACTGGAAGATGCAAAATTAAAAAAATAAGTTTTAGAATTTTCTTTCTTCTTCTTTTTTTTTTTTTATTTTTTTATTTTATTTTGAGACAAGGTCTGGCTCTAGTCACCCAGGCTGGAATGCAGTGGCACGCAATCTTGATCTCGGCTCACTGCAACCTCCGTCTCCTGGGCTCAAGCCATCCTTTCATCTCAGCCTCCTCGGTAGCTGGGACTATAGGCACATACGACTGCACCCGGCCAATTTTTATATAGACAGGTTTTGCCATGTTGCCCAGGCTAGTCTTGAACTAATGAGCTCAAGCCATCTACCCACCTCGGCCTCCCAAAGTGCTGGGATTACAGGCATGAGCCACCACGCTCAACCCAGAGTTAATTTTCTTATTTTTTACTTCTCTGATCTGGCCATTTTCACCTGTTTGCCCACTTCTACCTAGTACTTAAGGTCTGGGCCATTTGGTTTTTTGCTTCATCTGATTTTTTTTGTTGTGTTTTTTTTTCCCATGACTTAATTCCTTTAAGCTGACACAGCATTTATTACGTCCACATTCATTTAATGCAAACTTATGCTATATTAATAAAAACAGTACATAGTACCCATTAATAAAAAATATGAGACCAGTGGGCTAAAGTCATAGGAAGACAGGATCTGGCTTCATAAAAGAAAAAGCTGCTTCTTCATAAGTGTGCAGCAAGCTGTCCTGGCAAGTCAAGATCTTTTGTTTTAAGTAAGAAGTTCTGCCTAAGAGGTTGGACTAGAAGATTCTAAGATCCTGTAATTCTGAGATCCTGTAATTCTGCCACAAAATGTGCCTCCTTAGATTGACTCAGGGATGGCAACTATAGCACACAGGCCAAAGACGAGCATACCCATGTTTTTCTAAGGCCTGTGAGGTAAGAATGGTCATTTTTGTTTTTGTTTTTACATTTTTAAATGATTGAAAAAGATGAAAAGACTATTTATGACTGATGAAAATTATGTGAAAGTCAAATATCAGCGTCCCTAAATAAAATGAGTTGGAAGACAGCATCGCCCATTCATTTACATTTTGTCTATGTCACCTTTCATGCTGTTCTACAATGACAGGATTGAGAAGCTGCTACACAGACCATTTGGCCTGCAGAGCCTTTTAATACTCACTACCCTTTACGGAAAATAGTTGCCAACTCCCGGCCTATTTCATTCCTTCCATCAGTGAAGTACTGATAAATTTTAACACCTGGTTTTCTGAAGGGTGAGGAAGCCCTGATTTGTGGTGTTTGCAGCTTTTTGCGGCATAAATACTCCAATCATGGTGGATTTCAAACTTGAATGTGATGTCAATCAGCTTGCAGAATTCCTGAAAATTTAGCAATAGACTCTCCAGCCAGTACAAACTGGCTCCAGCACACTCCTGTGTCTCTCTAACATGGGTTGCTGTAGAAGGGGCTGGATTCATCCTAAGCTCTTTAATCCCCTACCCGCTCTTCCCTGCCCCCACTACCAGCCATTATGACTACAGTATCCATATTTATCTTTCATATTCTTAAACTGTTTCAGTGTATTTTTTACTCTTGTGAGAAAAGATAAAATTGTTTTTTCCTTCTTCAATCTGTGGATTTATACAGTGACACTTGGGAGGTTCTTGGAGCTAAAAACTAGTGTTACATAACAGAAAGTCACACCTCTCAAAACCAGCCCCTTGTAACTCAGTCCTCTGGTTCTCAGAGATCTAAGAAAAGTTAGAAAATCCCCTTCCTCATCAGGCAAAGTTGAATATTAGCAATTATCAAGAAAAATATATATGAAAAACTACACTGTTTCTAAAATTAAAAATCATTTCTGCATTTGTTAGTGTTACCTGCTTGATAGCTCTGGCATTGGACATTCTCAGTCCTGACTGTGATCTGTTGTTGCCAGTCCTTTTCGTGTCTGCGCAGCAATACTCCTCTAGCCCATGCGTTCTCAGGAGGGGCAGTATTGCCCTCACGGGCCAAAACTTGTTTCTTAGGGGGCAAAAAAATCTGAGATACTACAATGGCTGTGGTTTTCTAAAGAAGCTCAGCATATACACTGTATATTTATGAGTTTTATCATATATAAAAAGTATATAGTAAACATTAAAATTTCATTGGGGGCAGAGCTTGTGACTAGGAAAAAAAAAATGACTTTTTAGGGACCTTACTGGTAGTGATAATGAAGAACACAAGGTGAGCAGCACGTCTGTCCCTGCCTGCCCTCACCGTGCTCACTCACTACCAGACATCTTCTCCCAGCTGCACTTGGCCCATTTTCCACCTCACTGTCATGATGCTTGTATTTTTGGCATTTCAATCTCATGTAGCTCCCATTGACCTAATCAACTGCACAGCAGAGTGTAGAGCACTACTTTTTTAATGCAAAGAACAAACCAAATTGCAGTATTATATTACAAAGAGTTTGGGACCTGGAAATATTTTAAAAATGAAACTAACAACCCTCCCCTTTCTACAACCTGAAGTACCCCAAAAACCATATAAGGATTTTATTTGCTGAATACCACCATTTTATTTAACAGAATTCTTATTTTGCAGGTAAAAGACCTCATGAGTGTGGAATCTGTAAAAAGGCATTTAAACACAAACATCATTTGATTGAACACATGCGATTACATTCTGGAGAAAAGCCCTATCAATGTGACAAATGTGGAAAGCGCTTCTCACACTCTGGGTCTTATTCTCAACACATGAATCATCGCTACTCCTACTGTAAGAGAGAAGCGGAAGAACGTGACAGCACAGAGCAGGAAGAGGCAGGGCCTGAAATCCTCTCGAATGAGCATGTGGGTGCCAGGGCATCTCCCTCACAGGGCGACTCGGACGAGAGAGAGAGTTTGACAAGGGAAGACGATGAAGACAGTGAAAAAGAGGAAGAGGAGGAGGATAAAGAGATGGAAGAATTGCAGGAAGAAAAAGAATGTGAAAAACCACAAGGGGATGAGGAAGAGGAGGAGGAGGAAGAAGAAGTGGAAGAAGAAGAGGTAGAAGATGCAGAGAATGAGGGAGAAGCAGCAAAACCTGAAGGTCTGATGAAGGATGACAGGGCTGAAAGTCAAGCAAGCAGCTTAGGACAAAAAGTAAGCGAGAGTAGTGAGCAAGTATCTGAAGAAAAGACAAATGAAGCCTAATCGTTTTTCTAGAAGGAAAATAAATTCTAATTGATAATGAATTTTGTTCAATATTATCCTTGCTTTTCATGGAAACACAGTAACCTGTATCCTGTGATTCCTGTTCACTACTGTGTAAAGTAAAAACTAAAAAAATACAAAATACAAAAAAAAAACACACACACACACACACACAAAATAAATCCGGGTGTGCCTGAACCTCAGACCTAGTAATTTTTCATGCAGTTTTCAAAGTTAGGAACAAGTTTGTAACATGCAGCAGATTAGAAAACCTTAATGACTCAGAGAGCAACGATATAAGAGGTTAAAGGAAGCTGATTAATTAGATATGCATCTGGCATTGTTTTATCAGTATTAATTATCACTCTTATGTTGGTTTATTCTTAAGCTGTACAATTGGGAGAAATTTTATAATTTTTTATTGGTAAACATATGCTAAATCCGCTTCAGTATTTTATTATGTTTTTTAAAATGTGAGAACTTCTGCACTACAAAATTCCCTTCACAGAGAAGTATAATGTAGTTCCAACCCGTGCTAACTACCTTTTATAAATTCAATCTAGAAGGTAGTAATTTCTAATATTTAGATGTCTTAGTAGAGCGTATTATCATTTAAAGTGTATTGTTAGCCTTAAGAAAGCAGCTGATAGAAGAACTGAAGTTTCTTACTCATGTGGTTTAAAATGGAGTTCAAAAGATTGCCATTGAGTTCTGATTGCAGGGACTAACAGTGTTAATCTGGTAAGGACAGCAAAATCGTCAGAATCAGTGTTTGTGATTGTGTTTGAATATGTGGTAACATATGAAGGATATGACATGAAGCTTTGTATCTCCTTTGGCCTTAAGCAAGACCTGTGTGCTGTAAGTGCCATTTCTCAGTATTTTCAAGGCTCTAACCCGCCTTCATCCAATGTGTGGCCTACAATAACTAGCATTTGTTGATTTGTTTGTTGTATCAAAATTCCCAAATAAAACTTAAAACCACTGACTCTGTCAGAGAAACTGAAACACTGGGATATTTCATCCCTTCAGTTCCTCAGTATTGATTTTATGTTAATTGACTTTCAGAATTTCTCTACAGAAACGAAAGGGAAATTTTCTAATCTGCGTTATCCATGTACTTGCATTTCAGACATGGACATGCCATTGTTATTTGACTCATAACTGTTTCCAAATGTTAGTTATTATGGACCCAATTTATTAACAACATTAGCTGATTTTTACCTATCAGTATTATTTTATTTCTTTTAGTTTATAGATCTGTGCAACATTTTTGTACTGTATGTCTTCAAACCTGGCAGTATTAATACCCTTCTTACTGACATATGTACTTTTAGTTTTAGAAAACTTTTATATTTATGTGTCTTATTTTTATATTTCTTTATTTATTACACAGTGTAGTGTATAATACTGTAGTTTGTATTAATACAATAATATATTTTAGTATGAAAATTTGGAAAGTTGATAAGATTTAAAGTAGAGATGCAATTGGTTCTCCTGCATTGAGATTTGATTTAACAGTGTTATGTTAACATTTATACTTGCCTTGGACTGTAGAACAGAACTTAAATGGGAATGTATTAGTTTTACAACTACAATCAAGTCATTTTACCTTTACCCAGTTTTTAATATAAAACTTAAATTTTGAAATTCACTGTGTGACTAATAGCATGATGCTCTGCAGTTTTATTAAGAAATTAGCCTAACCATAAAACTCTCATTTCCTTAGTAAGCCAAATTAGGATTACCTTCTATAAACAGTGTTGGGAACAATGTTTAACATTTTGTGCCAATTTGTTCCTGTATTCATGTATGTAAGTTACAGATCTGACTCTTCATTTTTAAGTTCCTTGTTACATCATGGTCATTTTCTAGTTTTTTACCAGACTCCCCCCATCTCACAATAAAATGCATCAACAAGCCTGAACTGCTGTCATTCTTTTCATCATTATCAGTATTTTCTTTGGAAAATTGTGAAATGGGGTACGTTGTCATCCTGCATTTGATTCATCTTGAGCTGAATTTGGGTAACACTAATGTTTTAGACAGTCTCCACTAAATTATGGATTTTTCTTGTGGCTAAATGTTTCTGGAGAGGTCAGAGTTGACAAAACCTCTTCACAGGTTGCTCCTTCTTCCTGAAATCCTTAATCCTCCACATCTCATGCTTCAGGTCATTTCAGGGAAGCCTGGGTTTAGATGCCTTTCTGACTCTCTCGGCTCCTGCACTTCTGTCATCATACCTCTGATAGTATTATTTCTATTCCTTCCCCACTAGGAATAGGAACCACGTTTGTCACAGGCACTCTCATTCCTCACTGCCTAACAGGGTGCCTGGCACAAGTTGGGACAACAGATATTTGTTGAATAAAAATATAATTTGCATGTTTTGGGGGCTCAGCTATGTTCTCACTTTTTTTGCTTCTAATTCCAGAATATATATGTTAAATGATCCTAATAATTTTCTTATAAGTCTTATTAAACATTAGTCATAATAGACATAATAAATTATGCCTTCTTTTTCTATTGTCTTACTATTTTGATTTTTTGAAAGTGTATTTCTAAGTGTCTTCCTGGTGCTTAACCTCATGGTATATGGCACAGGTATTTGCTGGCTTGTGGACATGACTACCTCCAATAGGAGTGATAGGACCAATCCTAGTCGGCTCTCCTTTTGTAGAATTCACTTCCTTTTCTAGGACCCCACATTCCTAGGTGCTTGTTACCATGTTGCCTGATTTCTCCTGTCACTGAGAGCAGCTACCAACAAACAGATGCACTGAAAAGGATTAGGAACTAAGAATAAACTCTTAGGAGGTATCCACACTGTAATATAAAGCTCAGTGAGGGCAGTGCTTGATATGTATGGATAAATGGCTAATAAAGGAATTTACGCATTACCAGAAGTTTTCAGAAGGAAAATGTATGTGGACCTTTCCCAGTATTCCCTCATATGACACACAACAAAAATATCCATGCACAGGTATTTCACTACTATCTTAATGTTCACAAAAGCCTCATAAAAAATACAAATAAAGACCATGTGCCCATGAACACATGCATCTTAAGTAGCAGAATGAGGATATAAATATAGGCTTATCTGACTCCAAAATCCATCATCTTTTTTTTATTGTTTTTTGAGACAGGGTCTTGCTCTATTGCCCGGACTGAAGTGCAGTGGTGTGAACATGGCTCACTGCAGCCTCAAACCTCCTGGGCTCAAGTGATTCTCCCACCTCAGCCTCCTGAATAGCTAGGACAACAGGCATACACCCTGTCTTTGTTTGTTTGTTTGTTTGTTTGTTTGTTTGTTTGTTTGTTTGTTGGAGAGTTAGGGAGTCTCACTGTTTCCCAGGCTGGTCTTGAACTCCTGGGCTGGAGGAATCTTCCTACCTAGGCCTCCCAAAGTACTGGGATTATAGGCGTGAGCCACCATGTTCAGCCTGAAATTCATGCTCTTATCTAGCCTGGATCACATCCCACGTGAGAATAGTTGACAGTATCTCAAGCTTCGCCTTGAAGTATATGACTAGAAAATATAAGACCAATATACATTTCATAGCCTGGTAGAAAAGAATGGATGGGGAATGAGATTTTTCAAATCCGTGCAAACTAAAAAAGAACTTTGAAAAGGATACTATTAAAGTGCAGTGATTATGTTGACATGAAAACGTAACCTTAGAACAGATTTCATGTCTTCCTATCAGTGGGAGAATATATTAGGACATTCAATATGTGAACATTGTCCTCTGCTCTAGTTCACATTCTATTCAACAATAGCAGAATACACACCTTTTTCCTAACACATGGTACATTCATGAAGAGGGACCATACTGTGGGCCATAAGTCAACTCTTAGATGTAAAAGAATTGCAAATAAAGTATTTTATTTGACTACAAAAGAATTAAACTAGAAATCAGTAAATCAAATGTATCTCAAAAATCCCCCAAATTACTGGAAAGTTGACAATACATTAGCCCAGATGTGGTTAAAACTAAATTATAAAATATGAGCTAAAGGTGAATACAACATATCAAAACTTGTAGCTTGCAGCAAAAGCAGTGAATATAAGAAAATGTATAGTATTAAATGCTTATATTAGAAAAAATAAAGGATTGAATCTTATCTAAGCTTCCATCTTAAGAAATTAAAACAAAATTAAACCCAAACCAAGCAGGAAAGAGGAAATAATAACAATGGCACAGAAAACAAAAGAGAGTAAATCAGTGAAATCAGAATCTATTTTTTAAAAGATTACTAAAATTGATAAACCTCTACCAAGATAGATCAAAGAAAGGAGAAAAGTGATACAAATTACTAACACCAGGACTGAGAGAGGCACATCATTACAGAGCCTATAAGGAAATATTATGAACTTTATGCCAGTAAATTTGTCAACTTAGATGAAAATGACATATTTCTTGACTCAAACTACCAACACGCACTCAAGAAGAAATAGATAACCTAAATTTCTATTATCAATGGAAATTACATTTCTAGTTAAAAATCTTCCCAAAAAGAAAATTCCCAGCCCAAACAATTTCACTGGTGAATTCTACCAAACATTTAAGGAAGATAACTGTACCCATTCTACACAAACTCATCTATAAAATTGAAGAGGAGAAAACACTTCCCTCTTCAGCCTGTAAAGCCAGCGTTAACCTGATACCAAAACCAGACAATGACATTACAAGAAACAAATCTACACATTGATGTTGCTCATAAACACAGATACAAAAATTATTAACAAAATTTAGGAAATCAATTTGAACCATGTATCAAAAGGAAAATACATCACGACCCAGTGAGATTTATCCTAGGTGTGCAAGCTTTTTAAGCATTCAAAAATCAGTTACAGATGCTTCTTCCCAGGGGTTACAGCCCAATAAACCCATCACAAGTTTAAAATACCATGTCAAAGATGCATTTAGTGTACCTACTGAACATCATAGCCTAGCCTAACCTAACTTAAACATGCTGAAAACACTTAATTAGCCCACAGTTGGGCAAAAACATTGCACATAAATCCTATTTTATAAGGAAGTGTTGAATGCTGGCAACACAGTACACTGTGGAGTATCAGTTGTTTACCCTCGTGATCACGTGGCTGACTGGAAGCTGTGGCTCACTGCTGCTTTGCAACATCACAAGAGTATTGTACTGCATATTGCTAGCCCAAAAATACATCAGAATTATGGTTGATCAAAAAATATTTTGATCAAAATATGGTTGCTATTGAATGTGTATTGCTTTTGCACCATCATAAAGTTGAAAGATTATAAAGTCAAGTCATCATAAGGCAGGGGCCATTTGTAGTGTAATTCACTGTATTTACAGCATAAAAAGGAAAAACAATCATCTCAATAGGTGTGGAAGGAGCATCTGACAAAATTCAACACCAAGCCATAAACGTTCTCAGTAATCCAGGAATAGAAGGGAGTTTTCTCAACCTAATAAAGAGCATCAACAAAAAACCTATAGTTAACATCATACTCAGTGTGTAGGATTTAATGCTCTCCCCCTAAAATTAAAAACAAGGTAAGAATATCTGCTCTCACACCTTTATTGAACATCATACTGGAGATTCCACCCAGGGCAACACGACAAAAATAAATGAAAGAAATACACATTGGGGAAAAAATAAGTAGAACTTTATTTGCAGATAGAGTGGCTGTGTAAAAAACAAGGAATTCGCAAAAAACTAGAAAAGGTAAATGTAAGGTTAGAAGATACATGGCCATTATGCAAAAATCAATCATATTCTATCTAGTGATAAGAATGGAAATTTTTTAAATATCAAAAATATAAAATACTCATATTTAATAAAATATGGGCAAAACCTGTACACTGAAAACTACAAAATGTTGCTGGAAAGAAATTAAAGATGCAATGAAAATTGAGAGATACTCTATGTTCATGAATCAGAAGACTCAATATCATTAAGATGTCAATTCTCCCCCAAGATTTATTGACTCAGTGCAATTGCACTAAAAATCTCAGCAACATATTGTAGAAATTGACAGGCTGGTTCTACACTTATATGGAAATGCAAAGGACATCAAGTAGGCAAAACAATTTTGAAAAAAAAAAAAAAGTTGGAGGACTTAAATTTACACTACCTGATTTCTGGAGTGATTTTTATAAAGCTACAGTAATCAAGACAAAGTTGCGCTGGGTGTGAGAATAGACATATAGATCAAGAAAACAGAAATAATAGTAGAAAAAAGACCCACATATACATAGTCAATTGATTTTTGCCAAATGTTTCAAGGTTTAAATGGTGACATGATCGTCCTTTCAAAAAGCAATGGGGATATTAGATATTCATATATTAGATATCCATATGAACTTGATTCTTACCTCATATGTACAAAAATTGTTTCAAAATGGATTATAGACTTAAATACAAAAGCTAAAATTATGAAACTTCTAGAGGAAGATAAATTCTTTGTGATCTTGAGTTAGACGAAAGTTTCCTAGATAAGACACTAAAAGCATGAATCATAGAATTGTTGGACTGGACTTCATCAAAATGTAAATCTGTTAAGAAGATACCATTAAGAAAATCAGAATGGGGGCCGGGCACCGTGGCTCACGCCTGTAATCCCAGCACTTTGGGAGGCCGAGGCAGGTGGATTACGAGGTCAGGAGATCGAGACCATCCTGGCTAACACGGTGAAACCCCGTCTCTACTAAAAATACAAAAAATTGGCCAGGCGTGGTGGCGGGCGCCTGTAGTCCCTGTTACTCAGGAGGCTGAGGCAGGAGAATGGCGTAAACCCAGGAGGCGGAGCTTGCAGTGAGCCGAGATCCCGCCACTGCACTCCAGCCTGGGCGACAGAGCGAGACTCCGTCTCAAAAAAAGAAAAGAAAAGAAAAGAAAAGAAAAGAAAAGAAAATCAGAATGGGATACACAGATGGGGAGAA